TGGATCCCCAGCACCCATGCAGAAGCTGGGTGGATCCCCAGCACCCAGGCAGAAGCTGGGTGGATCCCAGCACCCATGCAGAAGCTGGGTGGCTCCCCAGCACCCAGGCAGAAGCTGGGTGGGGCAGTACATGTCTAACCCCAGAGCTGAGGGACAAAAGTGGGCAAATCCCAGGAGCTCACTGGCCAACCAGTTCATCTGAAATGACAACCTCTAGGTTGGGTGAGAGCCTGTCTCAATAAAACACGGTGAAGAAGCAACTGAGGAAGACATCCAGATGTCAACCTCTGGCCTGTACGCACAGATACAGCACGTATACACACACACACACACCATGTATAATCCCACATACCACATATACATGCTCACATACATATCTTCACATGCATACATATACCACATACACACCACACATACATACATCACAAACATACGTCACACACGTACAGACACACACACAGTCCAGCACCCCCAACACATAATACACATACACAAAATCCTTGGTGGAGCACAAAGGATATTGAGGAGGTATTGAATTAAGAAGTGATAGCTTAGACAAATCAGTGAAAATTGTGCTCTTCTGAATTGCTGTATAATATTTAAAAGATTTAATAACTTGAAAATAAAAGGCCCTCATAAATCTGATCAAATAAATTAAAATAAAGACTATGAAGGATTTTTAGTAATTTATCAAATAGATATATTTCAAACCCTGTTCCCAGAATCTGATGCCCAAAGTCAGATTGGGAAAATGTATCCAAGCACGTCTGGGATGTTTGTAGAGGCGAACACACCTTACCCTCAGAGAAAAGCTCTGTAGTTAAAGACCATAGCCACTCAAATTACTGTCTTCAAGCAACGTTCTACAGGTGGAAGATAACCAGCTGCAGTGAGCCAGGAGCCTGGGCGTGCAGCCGCGGTAATGACCGGAGCACATGGTTAACTTCACATGGCACAACTGGCCAGGGAGAGCCAGTGAGTCAGGAGCCTGGGCATGCAGCTCTGTGGTAACAATGGCAGTACATGGTTAACATGGCATGGCTGGCCAGGGAGTCACAGAGCTGACATGGCACTGTCACTAATGAGCTGAGATAGCCAAAAATTTATCTTGGTGCAGCTGGAAAAATAACAAAGACCCAGATAATGAAGTTGCCAAAACATAAAATATGGGAAACTTTCACCTTTAAAAAGTAGAAGAGCCTATCTGTCTCCATTCAAAGCTCTAGCCATACAAATGTTAAAACAATGACCTAACTTAGTGGGGAAAGCCACAGTCGTGACAACAAGCCACATAGCAAGGTGGCTCCTACATGCTGTTATCCATGATGGCTGATGCTCTGGGATTTTTCATAGCAGTTTGGCAACGCCTAACACTTTTGCTGTAGCCATGCCTTTTGACTTAGCCATTTCACTGAGCAGAATTTCTTTCTAGAAATGATTTCATATGAACATAGATATTTGTCCGAGGATTTCTATTACAGCCTGTGTTTATAACAAATAGTGAAGGCCACCAGTGGAACAAGATAACTGCTTGTCACTGTAAAAACGAATAGCAGTTCCTATATGAAACGGTGGGTATGTTCTTTTGTATGTTGTTGATTTGATACAGCGTAGTCACCTGGGAAGTTCAACCCTCAGTTGAAGAGTGGCCTGGATCAGGTTAGCCTGTGGCCATGTCTGTGAGAGATTATCTTGTCTGATGTTTGATGTGGGAGGCTCCGCCCACTGTAAGTGGTGCCATGTTCAGGTCAGTGGGCCCAGGCTGTGTAAGAAAGCTAGCTGACCTAGGGAATAAGCCAGTTAGCAGTGTTCTTCCATGGTTTCTGGTTCCAGGGTCCTATCTTGAGTTTGTATGCAAACTTCCCTCAGATTGTGACCTAGATGTGTAAGCCAGATAAACCCTTTCCTCCCTGAAGTGGCTTCCAGTCACAGGTTCTGTCACAGCAAAGAAATGTCACTAGAGTATGTTGTGACATTCCAGAAAGAAAGTGCCAGAACAATTGTGTGGCCGGCTTCCGTTTGTGAGAATATGATATAGAGTTAAAAAATACTCTGGATTTTTAAATAATTGTTTTTGGTTTGGGGGTTTTGGGTTGTTTTGGGGGTTACCTGTAAGTATTCAATAAGAAAAGAGGCCAGTACTGTGCCTAAGTCTATAGATCCTTTCAATTGCATCCATCTGGACCGCTTGGAGTCTCTTTAGGTTTGGTTCTGTGTGTATTGTTCTTTTTTTAAAAAAAAAATTCTCATTTTTAAAAAGTATCTTGAAAGTACTTTCTTCCTGAGTTCTAAGTTAGAAGCACTGTAGGCCACAGCATGTCCATGCTGTGTGCAGAAGCACTGTAGGCCACAGCATGTCCATGCTGTGTGCAGAAGCACTGTAGGCTGCAGCATGTCCATGCTGTGTGCAGAAGCACTGTAGGCCGCAGCATGTCCATGCTGTGTGCAGAAGCATTGTAGGCCGCAGCATGTCCATGCTGTGTGCTGTACTTTAAATGTGTTTAATTCTTTTGAATTGAGGAAGAAATTCAAGCTGAAATACTCACTATGGGAGTGCATTTAACAGCTAAAACTCTGTGTTAGAGTCTCTGAGATCTGACCAAAGGCACTGAGCGGAAATGACGTATGTGTCTTTAGTGTATTTACCAGAAGATGAGAAAGAAAGTAATGAAGGAGGCGTTCCCTTGAGAACCTAGAAAAATCCCTGAATTAAAGCAAAAGCAAGTGGAAGGACTCAGAAAGGCATTAAAAACAAATAAACAAACAAACAAACAAACTCGGAAGAAGAGGCTGAAGTAAAGGCATAACTGACTCCTCAGTGCAGGCCTGCTCAACTTGAGCATGATGGAAGTAATCAGAATCTACCATAGTCAGCTGAGGTACTGCATCGGGCCAACTAGAGACTAGACAAGATGATGTACAGCCCCTCCTAAAAAATACTTTATTGTCTCTGGCCCCTGGCCATCTCATTAGGATAAGAAGACTCTTCATACCTGGAATTCCAAAGGTGTGTGTGTGTGTGTGTGTGTGTGTGTGTGTGTGTGTGTGTGGTGTGTGTATGTGTGTCTGTGTGTATGTATGCATGTGTGTATCTGTATGTATGTGTATTCTTCAATATTATTATTGTTTTTGAAAAGATATGTTTTTATTGTATGTGTGTTTGTATCTGTGTGAATGTTTTCTTCAATATTATTACTATTTTTAAAAAGGTATGTTTTTATTATATGTGTATGACTATTCTGCCTGCATGTATGTCTGTGTACCACACGTATTCAGTGTCCTTCAAGGACAGGAGAGGGTTTGGACCCACTGGACCTGCAGTTACAGGTAGCTGTTACCAGCCAGTAGATGCTGAGCTTCAAACCTAAATCCTCCACAAAAGCAGCTAGTGTTCTTCTCCACTGAGCTCTCACCTGCAGCACCCAGTTCCAGGGCTGTGGTACCATTTTTTTTTTTTAATTGGAGAGGGAATGGAGACATGAAAACTGAAGAGAAAGAAAAAGAGGGGAAGAGAAGATAGAAGGGGAGGAAGAAGGGAGGAAGTGGAACATTTATTAAGGTTGACCAAATGCTATTTGCAAAGCAAATGTCAACAGACTGCAAAGAACCAAAACCACATGGCTCATATTTTCTGCTCAGAATGCAATGAAGTTTTAGCCCAAAACTTCTAGTTACAAAAGGGTAACTAGAAAATGCCTGTGTATTTAGAAGAAAAGAGACAGATTTCTGGATGATCCATAATGTCAAAGGAATTTCCTAATGAAATTATGCAAATACCTTATACTGAAATATAAGGAAAATACTACATTGACAGACTTATCAGATCAGGAATACAGTGCTGGCCTTGGATTGGACATATTAGAAAGAGTAAGGGCTGATAATGATTTAAATATTTATTTCAGAAAATTAGAAAAAGAGCAGCAAAACAATCCAGAAGAAAGTTAAATGAAAAAAATTGTTTAATGTAAAATGGAGCTTAATAGAAAGATTTTTTTTTTTACAACAGAGTAAAAGTCTAATAAAACTTATAGCAGGGGACAGAGGAACAGCTCAGTGATTAAGAGTATATACTGATCTCGCTGAGGACTGGGGTTCAGTTCCCTGCACCACATGGGACAGGTCACAATCTTCCATGGTTCCAGCTCCAGGGGACTCCATGCTCCCTGCCGGCCTCCTCTGGCACCTTCACGTTTAAAAGTTTAAAACATGATATTAGAGATGTGTGGACATTGCTTTTTTAAGTTTAAAAAAATCAGTAAAAAGAGGGGGAGGGGCATAAGAACAAATACAGGTCTACATCGAGTCACCATTTTCTTTACGAAACTGGGAAAGGGACTGGCAAGGAAAATTGTGATCTGCGTCACAACTGACTTCCCTTCCACCACTGGAATTGTAACTTTTCTGAAATATGCTGAGCCCAAGCACTCGATATATTTATAGGATTATGAGCTGCAGACTATCTTGTTACACTTTTCAAAACTTATATTTCCCCAAATTTCTGAAAATCCCACTATACTTTTAAGTTAGAAAAATAAAAAAAGTTTCAAAACTGTCTGCTCCCAGTTTTTAGTTCCCAGTGAAGTCCTGTTACGAGTTTTCAGAGAGCCTGAGTAGTGGAACTGGAAAGGGCCTCGTGTTGGATGAACTGCAGCACTGTGGGATTCTGGGCAGGCAGCTCTGTGATGCTCCAGGACCCCTGGCATTGCCCTTGGATTGCAAGAGGCCTGCAGCCTCCTTATAGCCCTGCCAGCACCCGTGGGGATTCTCCCTGCCCTCAGTTCGCTTTTGCTAAAGTTAATTCCCCACCCGATTTGATGTTCTAGCTAGGAACATAACACAGGCAAATGAAAGAGCTAAGAGCTATATATGTGGTTACTCTAACCACAAGCTAACATGTTTTATAGCTATACAGACTGTGTAGAGGTGCCCCACACCTCTTAGACTGCTTATGCTTTGATTCAGTTTTTGATGTATTTCACGTTAAGGTAGAGTTTGTTTATCATTGTAGAAATGTTTGCGGTGTGTTAGTGTTGATGATTGGCAGTCAAAGATCAAGAGAATGTAGGCACTGCCACAAACCTATACAGTCCTAGTTCTCAGAGAACAGAGACCAGAGGATTGAGAGTTTGAGGCCAGCCTGGGCTACAATAGTGAGACTGTGTCTCAAAACAAACAAGGAATGTGTATCACATACCTTAATTAGTGGAAACACTGGGATACTAAGCTGAGCTCAAACAGTAACTATTCAAACTCAGAAATCTGTCGTTCAACAAAGATTGAAGTCAGCAAGTCGCACATGACCTTTTTCTTCTGATAAATAGCTCTGAGTCCCTTTCTTATCTTCTGCAGGAAGAAGCAGTTCCGATATCTCCTGGAAAGCAAAGGTAAAAAGCCTGGCATCATCTGTGAGGAGACGAGTGACAGCAAGAGGTTCTTGGGGGAGAACACGAACCGCGCTACCCTGAATTACACCACCCGAGAATTCTACCACGAGAAGCTGGAGGTACGAGGATCTGTGGGTCTGTTGCTTCCTGCAATCCACACACACGGAGCTGGAGGCCATGCACTTCAGCCTCCTTACACAACCCCGAGAATACAAGCAGGGAGCACGAGGCCATCAAGCTTGAGGAAGACTCTGGCTCCAGTGTTCCCTTCTCAGCACAAAAGCATCTTCAAAAGAAAGCTGTGCCAAAAAATCTGGCCCAAAATAGGCCGCAGAGGCCTGCTCTGTCTAAATTAAGAAAAAGGGAGAGATGCTTTCATGGGTGTTTGTCCAGCTGGTACCCGAGCAGCAGAGCCCTAAGCAGAGTCTCCACTCCAGAGCTCTTGGCTTGGCCTATGGTGTTTTAGCCTACGCATTTCATTCTTTACCATGAATTTCCTCATGTCACTGTGTGACTGCTTTGGTCCTAGAGGCGTTTCTTAGGCAGGGGACCAAGCATGTGCTCTTCTGTGAGGTTCACTGAGGAGATATGGCATTTCTGTGCCCAGAGCCACAGGGCAGAACGTGTGCAGTCCCTTCTGCCACTCAGAGATGAAGAAGTGCTGTGCACCTGAAGGGCAAGAGAGTACCATGCTGCGGCAGATTCACGCAGTGACAGAGACAGGGGCAAGAGAGAGCAGACACAGTTATTGTTACATCTAGTGATATGTCCGGTGCCTGTGTATGAGCTATGGAAATCACTGTAGCTCTTCAGACAAGTTAGATATAGTTGTAAATGCAAATGGAGGGAGGGAGGGACAGAGGGACGGACGGACGGACTGAAGGGGAGGGAGACGGAGGGAGAGGGTGAGAGGGAGAGAGAGATTGATTCACAGATGTATACATAAGTTAGAAGTAAAGCCATAGGCAGGCGGCGTTCATGCGTTTGTCTGGCAGCTCCAAACTGCGTATTGAGGAAAGGCTGTGAAGCCTTTGCACCGAACAGCATCTGTGCTGGTGCCATAGGAGATGCAGTAGGGCGTGCTCAGCTCTTCCTTTAATTGGAACGTAAAGGGATTTTCGGTTTCATCCCCTTTCCCTTCACCCTGTTCTCAGTCTGAAGCATCCTCAGGATCCACAGAAGCCTGTGGGTTACAGATTGAAAACTGTCTGACGACTCATCCTAAGGAGGCTTGGCTTCTGCCTTAAGTTGGTGTGGGAGGTCTGGGGTGCTCAGTGGAGCACTTGCTGAGTGCACGGGGCTGAGGGCTCATTCCAGGTGCCACTCACGCACATATACAGTCAGTGTTTCTATGGTTGAACGGAGCCAAATGTAAAAACGTTCGGAGCTTAGAGGAAGCCGTCAGGTGAGATGAGGAGACTGAGCCGCCTTCGAGGCCAAGAGCACAGAGCCAGAATAAGGGCTCCCTGGTTGGGCCAGAAGAGAAAATGAGAGCTGAGCTACCAGGATTATGGGCCTCTTCCTGAGGACAGTTGGTCCTGTGAGTCAAATAATTACATATTTACTTAGAAAGTCTAATATACAAATTCTCATGAAAGAATTTTAGAAAATATAAAATTACTGCGTGCAAACAGGGACATGGGGAAGCTACCAAGTCAGTGACCTTGAAAAATAGGTCCTTCTGAGTTTTAACTCTTAGTTTGTAAGGAATATTTTAAATGTAAACTCTTGTTTTAAGGTAGACAACATAGCATTGACTTAAAAATCCACCAGATTGCTAGAAAAAGAAAAACCAGGCCAGATGCTTAGACTTTTTGATACCAGAATCCTTTAAAGCACCAAGTTAGAGCCGGAGAGACCACTCAGTACTGACGAGCATGTGCCGCTCTTGCAGAGGACCTGAGTTCTGTTCCCAGCTAAACACACACTTTTGGGTCCAGCTTCAGGGGATCTGGTGCCCTCCTCTGGTGTCTGTGGGCATTGCATTCACGTATACAAACCCAAACACACACACACACACACACACACACACACACACACACATGCACACACACGCACACACAGAGATTTAAAAAGAAAAGTGAAATAAAATATCAGTCAGAATACAGAAGAACATTAAATGAGTTACATTCCTTATAGCTAGTGTAAAAATAAATTTAAAATAGGATACCATTTACTGTAATGATAAACAATAAACATATACTGTGGGAATGGATGGGGAAATATTTCTAAGCTGGAACTGGGAGACACCTCAGTCAGCCAAGTGCTTGCCTCACAAGCTGGAAGGCTTGAGCGTCGATTCCAAAGCCAGTGTCCAAAGCCTGGTGTGGTGGTATACACCTGGACTCCCAGCACAGAGGAGACAGGGGAAGGGAGTTTCCTGGAGCTTACTGGCCAGCTAGTCTTACTGAATCAGTGAGCTACAAACTCAGTAAAAGACCTTGCCTCACACAATCAGGTAGAACACAACAGAGGGAAACACATGGCATTGACCTTTCTGTTCAATGTGCATACAAATACACACATGGCTGCCCTTAATTGGGGAAATTGAATGTTTGTTGCATGTCCCTAAAGAAGAACTGGAAAAAAGTTTATATTCATAGAAAAAGCATTCTCTGCTATTAAATGTTAACTCTTCATAAGGCAGTTCTATTCAAGGTTGTGCAGAATTATTTAATCCTAAACGTTATTGGAAAGCACTAGAACCTTAAGTATAGAAGAGTAAAGGCGCTTCGCCAGATACCAAGTGACTATGATAAGGGTATGTGTCCTAGTTAGGTGTCTGTTGCTATGCTAAAACACTGGGCCAAAACCAACGTGGAGAGGAGAGGTTTATTTCATCTTATAGATACAGTTCTTCATTCAGGGACATTAGGACAGGGACTCAAGTTAGGAGACTAGAGGCAGGAACTGAACAGAAGCCGTAGAGGCATGCCCCTTACTGCTGCCCTCAATGGCTTGCCCAGCCAACTTTCTTATGCCACTCAGGACGACCATCCCAGGGGTGTCACAGCCCACAATGAGCTGGGCCTCCCACATCAATCATTAGTCAAGAAAATGACCTATAGACTTGCCTACTGACAAGTCTAACGGACTGGTCTTCTCAGTTGAGTTTCTTGTTCCCAGATATCTCTGGTTGTGTCGGGCTGACAAGAACCAACCAGAATAATGTTGCAGTTAAGGCAAGATAGGAATAGACAGAACCAGGGTGACACTGCACATGCTTGGGAGATTTAGGCAGACAGCAGCCATTACAAACTGATGGGGACAGTCTACTTCATAAGTACTGCTGAGGGAAACATACTGAACCCATTCATCCTGTACAACAAAAATTAACTCCAGATCAAGCATAAAAATTAAAACTCTGAAGTTTTTTTTTTAAAGGAAACCTTACGGCCTTGGTTAGTTAGATGTGACATTTGAACATTCCAAGTGACCAGCTATACAGGAAGATTGTTTTATAAATTTGCAGTCACGATCATTTTTAATAAAAATAGCTTCAGCAAAATCAAACAAACAACGTCTGGATTTAGGTGGCTTGATCGATAAAAACACAATGAGGAGGTAACCCGATCGGATGTGGGCTCCTATTCTGACACAGCTCAAAGGCGAAGGAAGAAATCTGAAGCCACGTGACACTTTGGGACCAGCACCAAGCTAGCTGTCAGGAGACTTGGCCTTGAGCCCTGATCACCACTTATTACCTGGGAGACCTTGCCCAAGTCCCTTAATCCCTGTCTCCTGACTCAGAGCCCAGCGTTCCTGGTCCCCCACCCAGCGCCCACATCTTGAAAATCACTTAGAGCCACGCAGCCCGAGGGCTCAGCCTCTCTGCTGTGCACGCGAGGCTGGGGAAATGAACGGGGGCGAGCTGCTCACAAATCAGGCTAAACAGTCCCTTTCATTGCACGTCTTGTTGCTTGAGGCTCTCCCATCCATCCATTCTCCTGCCTCATCTAACAGAGATTTAAGGGACGTTAAAGAACCCAGGTCTTCTCTTAGACAAGGAGGGAAACCGGAAGCTCAGGAATTGTCCAGGGCCATATAGTGAGTTTCTGACAGTCACCTGAACTCCTGGGTGCCCAGGTTCTCCTGCTGTTGCCCATGCTTCCTGAAGATGGCATGGGCCTTGTAACTACAGGGACTGTCCTCTCTAGATGTTGGTTGATTGCTGACTAACCATGTCATTCAACAATGATATCAATTCCATTATTGATTCAGCTTAGAAATACTGTGTTTTGAGTTGGAGGTTTAAATAGATCGTTTTCTTGGGGTTCTTGTCGGCACTTAGCCTTCCTACCTTAATTAATGCAAGTTACCTAGAATATACTTCTCACTGTCACATGTGTTACACCAGCTCTACCCTCTGATAACATGAGCAAATGAGGGGGGGGGAGAGAGAGAGAGAGAGAGAGAATATCTCTATCATTGAGCTATACCCCCAGCCCCCAAAGAATAGCTTTATTAGAACCCCTGATGACACTGGAGCTGAAATCCCAAGTGCCCTCTGGCTCTGAACTCGCCAAGCTGTGTTTAGAAGCAGCTTTCTCACCTTCAGACTGTCAGACCCAGAAGCTAAGTAAGAATGCTGTTCTTTCTGTGGTGATGGCCTGGTGTGAGTCTAAGGCTTCCGATATTTCTCCTTCCTCTTTGGCACTTTTCTCAAGCTTTGCCCAAGTAATCTACGCTATCATGTGATGCTGTGTCGTTCTCTGTACAGACAGTAAACTCAGAGTCCGAGTAGAAAGGATTATGCAGATAGTAGCGAACCCCAGACTAATGAGAATGTTCGGCATCAGCAAACACCCCACTGTTGTTTTGGCTGTTGGGTTAGTTATGGTTTAATGTAAATATTTCTTTTCTTAACAGGAAATAAAGGACAAGAAGAAGTTCTGCAGGTTGTATGTAGAAGACCTGGTGAAGGAAGCCACAGCCATCAACATGAAGAACGAGGCCCTGCAGAAGCTGTGGCCTCAGATGTTCATCGAGCTTGTCAGGGATGCCGTCATAGAGGTCCGCAGCAAGGACTCCTACATGAAGCTCTGCCTGCAGCAGGTCACCGACCAGAAATAGGGACAGCTCCTACTTCAGACTTGAGCAACCGGAGCTTGTTTAAAGTTTGGCGAGATGCAGGTTAGACACGATGAGACACCACCACCACCGCACAGTCTAGTCTAGAAAGGGTGGCATCCAAGCCCCGCCCCCTGCGCTGTGGAGAAAGGAGGGAGGCAGGAGAGAGGGGGACTCTTTTCCATGCATGCTGACCACACAACCTTGGGAAACCAAGCAGCGGTTGGAGGAGGCCTGGCTGCTGGGTCAGAAATGCTTCTTCAGCTCCCGCTCTGACTGGTGTGCTTGCCCCAGTCCCAAGCACGCTGTGTGCTGATGGGCCAGCATGAGATGTCCCGAGCACACTCACACTGTGTGCTGATGGGCTAGCATGAGATGCCTCTACCAACCTCCAGCTGAGACTTTCTCTTTTTTTGCCTTTTTATTTTATGTCATGATTTCAAAGCCAAGCATATGTTCTTTTTTATGAGTGAAGAATAAATACATTAGTAAAAAAAAAAAATGTCCCGTTTGTTGTGTGGTTATGTTCTTCTCCTGTTGGTCGGATCCCTGTTGTTCACCTATGTCCATGGGAAGAGGCTTTTCAGGTACCTCAGCGTGCCACAGGAAGTCACTGTGGGCTGAAAATGTGCAGACTGTTGAGTACAGGAAGAGGATGCTTGGAGATGCAGGAGTCTGTGTAATGTGCATCTTTGAAAGGTGTCCCCCTGCCGTTGACCATTGTGAGTCTGTCTCATTTAATAGGGACACATGTGCACTCATCCTTCAGAAATATTAAGGGTGGAAGACTCTAGTTTTTAAGTTCAGAAAAATCAAACAGACAACGAGAGGTTTTGGCTGGTCCACTCTGATCAGAAGTGGATGATAGAACCTCGGGAAGCCAGTCTTACGAGTAAGTAAGTGAACTCTGTCTAATGTGCTCAGACTCTGCCCACAAGCTACTGTGTCAGTAAGAACACAGGATGTGGGAGAGCAAGAAGAGGAGATGTAAGACAATAAAACCGGGCAGACAGGTCCAGGGGAAGCCGAGTGCTGTCCGTGCAGCACTAAGAAACGTCCACCTCCCTGTTAGCCTCTCCGACCCTGGAGTGCTCCAGCTTGGTAGGTTAATACGGTGTTTCTGAACATAGACTGTTATATCACTATGCTGGGTTAGTGTCTCAGCATCTGAGTTTCTGCCCGACTAGCTTGGGACCCACCTGAACCTTATTTCCCTCATTGTGTTATAGACCCATTAAAGGAAAGTCATTTCCTTCTGGTCAAGAGGATGGGATCTACTCCTGAACTGGATGGAGACCTGGGACTGGTCAGTAACCTGGCTAAGTGACTACCAGGCAGGAAGATGGAGTCACCTTAAGACATGCTAAACAGATGGGAGGAATAATTATCCCTTCGATGGGAATTAGAAAGGCGACACATTCCCTTTTCTTCCATCTCTTCTAAGCATGGTCTCTTAGATCCTGGGCTTTCTCTCTCATCTATCCTTCCGGCTCTACTCCCCAAGCTCCTCTTGCTTACTAAAGTTCTGAGGTTAGAATAATTACCTCAGCATGAACAGACCTCCAGGGGACCAGAGCACGCTGTCAGGAGTGAGTGGAGATCCATGGAATAAACTTCTCTTTCTATGTGGTATTTCCCAGGACTATCGGGCCAGGAGAACAAATGCCAACACTCCCCACCCCTACCCTCTGTACAGGTTCTATGTGCCAAAGGATTACTTCTTTTTCTTCATGCAACCTCAAGCAGAAATTGAGTCCATTCTCCCCTCATTTGGGAGACACTGCATTGTCTTAGGGTTTTATTGGCGTGAAGAGATACCGTGACCATGACAACTCTATAAAGAAAAACATTTAATTGGGGCTGGCTTACAGTTTCAGAAGTTTAGTTGACTATTGTTATGGTAGGAAGCATGCCGCCATGTAAACAGACATGGTGCTGGAGAAGGAGCTGAGAGTTCTACATCTTGATCTGAAGTTAGCAGGAGACTGTGTACCATACTGGGTGTAGCTTGAGCACAGGAGACCTTAAAGCCCATCCCCATAGTGTCATTTCCTCCCAAAAGGCCACACCTACTCCAACGAGGCCACACGGCCTAGCAGTGCCATTCCCTATGGGCCAAGCATTCGAACACATGAGTCTATGGGGATCATTCCTGTTCAGACCACTACATGCACCCATCCATGTTCAGCTTCAGCAGGCAGACCCACACACTTAGAGTGTGACATTGGATCTAAAGTTACTTCACTGCTACTGAGCCAAGGCTAGAGCTGATATCAGCTCCCCACTCATGGTGCCTCATGCCACTGAATGCCTGGTATGTGGACCAACACAACCCTGCCAAGTTCTTGATCAAGCCAGGCATTACTCTGAGATGCGTATTCTCCCTGCTGAATGATAATGACCACAACAACCAAGACTCGTTGAGCAGTGTCTTAGATTGCTCAGGGCTCATTGCAGGTGCCCTCTTATTTAAACGAACAATCTAATCTTTGTATTCTAGTTACACCTATCTGAGTATTGAACAACTGGGGCAGAGAGAGGCTTGGCCGATCAGTGAATCACATTTCAGCCCAAAACTAGAAAGCAGGGCCTCCATTCGCTGTCAAGGAAATTGTGTGTGTGTTGTGTATGTATATATGTGTGTTTGTGCACACACTAAAGTGTATATTTGGAGGTCAGATGACAACTGGTGTGTGTTAGTCTGTTCTCTCCTTCTATTATTTAGACCCCAGGGATTGAACTCAGATGATCAGGGTTAGTGGTCAAGCCATCTCAACAACCTCAAAAATGAGCTTGTTTCCAGTCGTCTTTTTGATCTGCTTTATGTGGTTTTGTTGTTATGTTGAAACCTTAAAACAGAATTTCTCCAATATGTTTAAGACACTGAAGGACACGAAGTATAAATTTGAACATGAACTATGTGTGAGCCCATGCACACTGCTGTGCAGTGAGGACGTGTGAAAAGTGTAAGAACATCGGCCATATTGTTTCAGATCACGTGTGGCTAGTCCACATGAGGTGTCACGTACAAGAGTGGAATCGAGGAGGTCATGTTGAGCGGGTCCTGTTCCCATCTAGGTGGAGATAGTGGTGGGATCCAGATGGCAGTGGTGGGGGTGTCAGGAGTGGTTGCACTCCGGATTTATTTTAGAGGCAGAGATAATAAGTTTACTGACTTGTGGGATGTGGGGTAGGGGACACAGGGGTGACTGGTAATGCTGAGGGATTGGCTTGGGCAAACTAGAACACTTACTAGCCAACCACAGAGGGACAGTGCTGTATGGATCATGCATCCAGGGGAGGAACAGACAGTGGCTAAACAGCCAATCGCAGACATCTAGTGGGCGTGGCTACAGGAAGTGAGAGGTAAAGGGGAAGCTTGGATTGAACTAAACCGTAAAGTTTGAGCCATCAGCATTTAGCAGCAGGTATCCTAATACTTTATATTTCAGAAAATTCATTTACCGTTTTTTCTTATATTTCTTAATGTGGTCACATCTGCTAGTGTTTTATGATTTCTTTGATTATAATTAAGCTTATTTAGAGTTGATAATCATTCATATCCTCTTCTATTTTGTGTGAAGGGGGGTTGTGTCCATTGTGTGTGTGTGTGTGTGTGTGTGTTAGTGCACATGAGCGTGAAGGTCGGAGGTTGACATCATTCCCCCGCCCCCTTATCTTTTGAGACAAAGGTCTCTCACTGGATTTGGCTAGACTGGCTGGCCAATGAGACCAAGGGATTCCCTACCGCCACCATCTCCCCGTCTCCAGTGATGATATTACAGATGTAATTCAGGCACAGTTCCTTCACCCCTGGCTGCTTCACCTGGATGCTAAAGAGTGAGCTGAGATCCTCGTGCTCACACGGAAGGACTTCACAGACTGAGACACACACACACACACACACACACACACACACACTTCTTTACTGTGACCCCATGCTTACCTGTCAGACCTAAACATGTTCCAGTCATCTCTCCTTTGGATAAACCCCAGCTTTAAGTCTCCATCTCTGAGATTGTTCAGTAAGATACTCTGGGGTTGGAGTTGGGGAAGAAGAGGAAAAATCAGGATGAAAGAGAGGAGCGAGTGTCCTGGCTAGTTGGCAAAACAAATACAAGATGAAATAGAGGAGAGACTGCTCGGCAAAATATTAATTTTAAACCTTAAAGAACAAAGGTTAGTTTTCCTAGCCTGATTTTCTGGGTCAGCTCGAGACGGAGGGGTGGGTACTGTTGCCAAGAAATTCTGAGCCAAGTTGGAAACTTGATCACGACCACTGTGGCCAACCCGTATTGATGGAATATTTGTTATCTTTGATCCCGACCTTCTGCCTGTATTTATGTCTTCCTGGTTCTTGGTATGTGCCCTTTCCTGCAAACTACCTCAAATCCTTTCCAAAGTGTATTCAAAGCTCTAGAGAATAAATGAGTCCCAGGGAGTAAGTCCTCTCCTTGGGGAGCAGATTCGTCTCTTTACGAGACAATGAAACGGAATTCCTTTATTAAAGTTCCTCTGAACTTCAGCAATAAGAGCACTGACTCCTTCCTAGTGTTTGTCTTGAAATATTTCACCATGCAGAAGTGCACACTGAACAGTATCTCAAATAAATACCCGGCTCACCACCAAGCACAACAGCTCTTAATACTTTCCACATTTGCCTCAGGTTCTTAAAACAACACATTACAAATAGAGAAGGAGCCCCTGAGCCCCTCCTTCCCTCCCTCAAGGTAACCACTGTATTGGATTTCATGCTGGTTATCCGTTCCTGTTTCCCTACTCTTTCTGTTATACATAAATGCATAGAGAGTTTATTTGATTGTTTCATATTTTCCAAATTTGTATAAATCATATGCAGTTTTTCCCCCTATATTTTCTTTTCAATTTTTCTGAGGTTCATCCTTGTTGCTGATAGTAGTTGCTTCCTGTTTGATACTGTTTGTGACTCCTCTGTAGGCTGGGTACTGTGAGTGGGTATCAAGAGTTTCCTGTCGAACATACACACATGACATACATACACACAACCCGACATCCACACATGAACATACATGTATACAACCTGGCATACACAAACAAACACACAAACACACCCTGGCATACACACATGAACACGTACACACACAACTTGGCATATACGTGTGAACACACATAACATATTGTATTATAAGAATATGTTTAAGGACATATGATGGACAATATGCACAGGACCTGCTGGTCTGCAGAACGTGCAGCCGTATTTGCTATTGTCACATTGCTTTAGAAAGAGATGTCCACTAGAGTTTTCTACAGGTAGACAATCTCCAGTTGTCCCTCACCATCACTGACAGCATGTTGTGTGTTCAGATGTGTATGCTATGTTGTGTGTGTGTGTGTGTGCCAGGTTGTGTATATGTGTTTTTGTATGTATGCCAGGTTTTATGTGTGTTTGTACACCAGGTCGGGTGTGTGTATTTGTGTGTGTGACAGGTTATGTGGGTTCACGTGTGTTTGCCA